GGACCTGTTTTGAACTCAAAAAGAACAAAAGACTTGGACTCAAATTGAACATTTGAACTGGCACAAAAATCTGACTTGGACCATAAAGGACTCGTACTCAAACATCAACAAGTGGACTTGTTGACTTACATTTGAACGAAACTCAAATGATCTCTAAAGGCAAATTCCAAATAAAATGAAATCAAACTGAAGCCAAATTCAAATCAATTTGAACTTATAAATGAACTTGCAAGACGAGTAAGGACATTGAACTTGAACAAGATTCAGACTGGAGGGGGCTCGAACGGGTGGAAGAGACTCATTTTAAGTCTGAACTATGTTTGAACTCAAAGCTTGAACATGTACTTTGAACTCGAACCGGATTGAATACAAGGGACTATTGAACTTATGCAGCTAATTCGGACTCAAGTGAACTCTAACATGAATTGAATAAGATTACAGTAGACTTGAACTCAAGCTCGATCTGAATAATCATACAAGAGTTCCAACTCAAGCTAAAATCTTAAGTGCAACTCGCTTAAGAAATGGATAAGGATTTCTATTTGTAAACTATGGCACAAGATCTCCAACGCAATGAACATGTACAAATGCCTGTTGATTGAGAAGGTAATACGGGAGACTAATAATGGAAGATCCGCCCCCTGCAAGCAAGTGCAATCATCAACCCACCTGAGATTGATGAAAGGTGGATGTGATGCAAGAAACGAGGGTCTCCTACGAACATCCTTAGGAGCTCCCCTGCAAATGAACGCTGGTGGATAACAACAATGGATATATCGTAAGCACATCGAACCACTGTGGGCACCAGTACAAGTATCTCCTACGAACATTCCTAGGAGCTAGTAGTAGATATAATAGTTCCTATAAAGTCAATGCACTATACATTAAGAAGCAACGAACAGTTGTAAGGTGTACGAGTCCTACCCATATATAGCAATCAAAGATTCGTCTTTGCAAGCAAAATCAAATACATCAAGGTAGACCCACCTGAGATTGGTGAAAGATGGGTGTGATACAAGGACAATGGGTCTTCTACAAATACCTTCAGGAGCCCGTAGGGGATACGACAGTCCCCTGCAAAGGGATACTTGTGGAGAACAACAGTGTATTGTAAGTACAATGAATCACTGTGGACACAAGTACGGATATTACCTACAACGACGGTGACTAAGATCTACAAGTGCGTTGAGTATAAGGGCGACTCTATGTATGAAAAGGACACCCTCTGATAGAAGGGAGGAAAAGTTTGAACAAATTAAAACCAAACTTCCTGGTGTTCCTAAGTCTCTTATGAGTTCTATACTTAAGAAGAGAATAGTTCTGGTGCCCACAAACACCGGAAATAACGAGTCCACTACATTGACGACCTCAAAAGGAGTTCTCTTCAAAGCAACAGATTTCAAAGTCCAGAATAATTCCCCGGTGAATGAGAAAGGGGAGCCAACGTCAAGATGATGAAACGCCTTACGCCACTGGATCTGCAACACATATGCAAGCAGACAGAAGGCGTCTACAATCTATAACGCCAAGCCACCGGATCCGCAACATTCGTACTAGCAGACAGAAGGCGTGTATAAACTCTTAAATAAAAAGTTGTGTGCATCCAAATGATAGTTATCTGCACAACTACAAATATTTCAAAATACTCCTACACGTGCACTGTAATTTGTATACACATAGGTACACTAAAAAGGGGAAAATACAATCTTTACCCGCATGGGCCCCGGCGAGCGTGTTATTGGTACACACGTGACGTCTAGGGATGCTGTGCGGGTCAATAAGTGAATTCAAGTTCGAATTCGATCCCCCTATACGGATCAATAAAAGTCGACAGGGTTTGAACCTTCAAACAAATACACGGTTGTGGGGACGGGTGTATTTGTTTTAATATATTCATATTAGGCCTTCAAGGCCTAAAATCAAAAGATTTCACTAAACAAAGGCATAAAGCCTACGAAACCCGATCCTCCTAGGCAGATAAATAGGAGTAGACAGGGTTCGAATCATCAGATAAATATGTGATCATGAAATCGACCGGAATATTTATCTTATACATTCATATTCGACCTTCAAGACCTTCAACAAAGAAAGCTCATGAACAAAAAGGCACAAAGCCTACACGAAACCTGATCCTCGGTCAACAGCTCAGCCGAGTCGCCAAGGTTCAATCCAAAAATAGAAATGACCCCAAACACCTCGATGATGGCCGTGTTGAACGTTTATCTCAACCGGAGGGGTTCGCAAACATTTTCAAATGTCTCCCAAATATCCAAATGCCTATCAAAATCCAAAACTCCACGAAAATACCAAAATCCAAAAATCCAAAAAAATATCAAATCCAAAAATCCAAAAAAAATATTTAAAATTTGAAATCCAATCATCAAATGCTTGAAGTAAAATCCATCCGCCCTCCGCAACAGTTTACCGAGGTGGACAAATTAGAAAATTACTTCAGCTCACAAAGAGCTAATGCCTAGTCAAAAATATCATTAGGATCCATTCTCAAACAATCTCCTTCCAATAAACACGTGGTACGTGTCCTCTAACTGGTGGTTTGCCGCCAAATGGCACTGCAGGATAAAAGGTTATGACCCGGGGCCCTCTGAACCGAGTGATTTTGCCGCCAAATGGCACCACGAAATACCGGTTATGGCCAGTGCCATTACGTTCCTTATTGGCATCAAATCCTTGAGACATGAATCAATAGGATATGATCGATAGGGCACAAAGCCCTCTGTAAGCTAAGGTGGATTCAAATTTGTCCCCTTAGACAAACATCCACCCTAGGTCTACAAGGTTCCCTTGGACAAAGCAACCCATGGCTGCCGACAAGGATCCTTCTGTCAGGTTGGGTTGACTACCTCCTCTGACTAAGTAGACCAGGGACCACGATGGCCCGGGACAACAGAACCATGGGATCTTGATCGGGTCCATCATCCATTCCCCCACCATCCGCTTTAAGTGCAAGATGGTGAAATTTCTATTTTAAATATTAAATCTTCAAACTTCCAATCTTCAATACCCAAACCCATGCTGCTACTATATGCCAGATACCACGTATATTCTACGTATCTGATCGACGACTAGCCTTAATCGAAAGTTCTCTCTCGTGATCGGGAGGGGTAATTAACTATAGGGGCTTGCGCTTATAGGAAACCAGAACTCATATCATAAAGTCCTCATCAAATGAGGGCAAAATCTCTGGGTAGTGTCTTATCTACAAACCCATCTGCCTTCCAAAATTTACCCCGGAACTTAGTTCGTTAAAACGCCCCCTTGCTAGAGCAAAAAGCAGATCAGCGCGGCGGGGAGGCCGATGCCTAATTTTCGGAGCCCACAACCTCTCATCAGACTTGAAGCACAATCTCTTTGCCCTCTTCTCCTACAACTCCTTAATCAGCTTCTCGAAGTTCCACCCAAATCCCCCTCTTCCAGGCTTCTCCTTTAGGGCCTAATGCAGGCTTCATGGCGCTAGTCCCTTGGGAGTAAGAAAGTTGTGGTCATCCTAGATGGATCTTCGGATCTCCCCCATTTCCCTTGATTCCTCCATAATTTCCCCTTCTCAAGTGGGCGGTCCTCCCCAAGTCTCCCAATCATCCCTCGGACGTTCATACCCAAATCCTTCTTCGAATTCCCATCCTTCCTTCAAAATCAGCACCTCGGTGGCCATGATCTACCTCCCTTTGTTCACAATTAGCATCCCCTTGCTCCTTTCCCATCCCCATACCTACCTCCTCTCTCGTCCCTCTGGAAATGCTCCATATGGGGTTTTCTCTCTTCTCCCTAGATGATCTCCACCTCATTTTTGTCCCTATGAATTTTAGAATTCATATTTTTTTCTTCTCACACTTTCACCTCTAATGCCGTCGTTTGGTTGTGGAGATCCAACATTTTCTTTACCATGTCACGTAAGTCAGAAAATTGCTCTTCCATGGAGGAAATTTTATCTTCCACCTTTGCCTTTATTTGGCTCATCTCCCCCTCATGGCTTTCCTCCAACGCATCCACATTCTTGGCCGCCATTGATACATGAATTGTTGTGAGACTCAAAAATCAGTATTTCTTCCCAAAAAACTGCCACACCAAAGGTCTGAATATGAAAAACTTCTGCTGGAATTAGCCAAAACCGCCCCAAACCAGCCCCGAAAAGTAGCTTTGATACCAATTTGATTCCAATTTTTTGTTCTAGTGTTAGGGTTATATTGTATGTTTTGTAGAATTTGATGTTTTTTAGGTTTTGCTTGGGCTCTAGCCTCCGGCTAGAGATTGGGAGAGTAGGATCTTCCTCTCCAATTGAAGATTCAACTATATCTTGCTATTTTCTTTCATCTACTATCAAATTAAAAGTTTTCTCTCCGTTATTTCTCTGTTTTTCTCTCAAAAATTGCTTGAAGTGTGTCTGATTGTTTATTTCTGGAGCAGAATTTTGTGTTTTCTCTTATTTCCTATCAATGTCCTATTGTGTTGGGAATATATTTATGGGACATTAAGCTTTATCCTTCAGCCTTAGCTTCCATAGATCTGGAAAGAATTGCTAAGGGAGTAGATCTCGCCACTAACATGGAATCTTGGAAAATGTTATTTAATCCCAAATCGAGCAGTTCGAAAAGAGGGGGTGGCATGCTACTATGTAAATCCAAAGATTTTGAATGGCAAATGTTATCCACCACTAAATCCAGACTCCTAACAGTGTGTTTGGAGCTCAATAGCGCCGCTCTAAAATTTATTAGTCTACTACAAATTAGAACTCCTATGAAACTAATGTGAATGTGTAATTTGTAATCCTTCACTATTTGCAAGTTTATGGAATATATAATGTTCAATTTCTTTGAAATTATGCCATTATGTTGTTTGTATCATCACTGAACTTGAGGAAAGAAACCATTGTTAGATGTATATTCTCTATCCTTATAGGATAATTTGGAATTCAGGCGGATTATATTTCTTAAAAAGTATGCCCCATTTTAATTTTTTTATTTCTATTCTCCTCATTTAAACAGGTTGCATTTTTTGCGGACCCAAAGCCTGAATGCATTGTGGAGTGTTTGCCATCTTGCACATCTGATATGAACCCACCCAAGTACACAATTTTATTTTCCAAAATCGTTCATTTTAGTTTTATTTTACAAGTCATTCATGGCTAATTCAAAATCTTGAAATTCTTTGATTCTTTTGCTTTTCTTTTCTTATTTTATTTTGATGGAGATAGCTCTTTAAAACCCTTTTGACTAATTGTCTTCAGGTATCCTCCGATAACGTGTTATGCGTACATGAACCAGAGATACAACGATACACATCTAGGCCTGAATCATATCATGGACAAGAAATGAGATCATATCATGGACAAGAAATGAGAAATTAAATGGTATAATATTTTGAATAACGCTAATTATATTCTGTTTTAATTTGCATCAAAATGCTAGAATAGAATAATCAAAGTTATAATTTATAAGACAAATGCTCAAAATTAAAAGATATTTAAATCTTGTGTAGACAATTAATTCATGATTTTTTTAATTTCTATTTAAGTATGTTCTAAATTTGATTATTTATTTTATCATTCCAATCAAATTATATAAAGATATCGTGATATAAATTTTTTTGTATATAACTTCTGTGCTTTATCTCTCTTCCCTCGATAATGAGACTTTGCTACGATGAAGCAGGTATAGCAGGTCCATAAATTTCTATTATTCTTGTTATGGGAAAAGGCCAAAATTTGACAGCAACTCTATCAGAAAGAAAATCTGTAGATATTCGAAGGTGTGCCTATTTGGGAAATAAAAGATTTAGTACTTAACAATCATGCTTTAGTTACTAGTTGCTGGTTGGGAGCTTTTGCTATCAATTAAGAGGTCTTGGATTCGAGTCTTATATATATAATGTGTGTATGAATTTGCTTGAATTGATCTAAATATTCTACTTGGGATAAATTGACTATTTTGAGTGGTTTGTAAGATTACTGTATTTAATGTGTATATGGTGAAAATAATGTTGATACTCATTTAAGAGCTATGAAATGTGGCTTGAGGCTGTATTTGAATTGATAGTTCTCCTAATATCTGGTGAAAAAATAATGTGTAGAATTATTTAAGTAGAAACAGTGCTGCTAATTTTTTTTTTAAAGTTCAACCGAGAACTCACTCATGGAGTCACACAGCCAGTGATAATCCAACATTAAATATGATGATACAAAATACCCTGTGCAAAAGAATTCAATTAAATTGTTTTAATTTTGATAACAATGTTTTAAAATAAAGTAATAACAGTTTCTTAAATCTTGAAAACAGCGCAGCGTCATATATTAATAGAGAATTTTTAAAAATTGTATCCGACTTTGGCCCTCAGTTTAGGATAATTTTGATTTGGTTTGGGATGGCTTTCTTATTATTTTGTAAAGTTATTTTTTAGTACAAAATTACTTAAAAGTAGAGGCAATTTTACATTAGCTAAAGATAATTCATTTTTAATTTCTTATAGATATCCAAGTAGTTAAGTATAGTTATTCTATTGTAATTTTGTTGCACCAAATCTAAAATAAAAAGGCAAATCTAAGCAAAATTTTCTTCTCTTCAGCTTACCATTTTCAACTCATAAGTTTTACTTGAATGAAGCTTTGGCAAAAGATCAAATGCCCAGCCAGTGAAAACCCTTCATGCATCCCTTGGCAGGATAAATCCCAAGGACCGTTTGTAACCAAAATTGAGAATCGGAAATATGAAAAGCCTAAGGTCTAACTTTGATAATTACAAACTCACATGGTAGATCCAATATCTCGAATGCAAGGGCTCTTCATTAGAAGTGTAAACTCTCAATCAATAAATTAAGATGAGTTGCTACCTAATGTTTGTGCTCCGGTTCCTGATTTGGTTGAATTCTCTTTAAACATTGCTTGGTCTCTTGCTCGTCCTTGATGTTGGTACCGCTAAGCATCGGTGTTGGCTCCATCCATTATTATTGTGACTCCTTTGGTTGTTAGTAGTGATCCCACTCAAGCTTCGATCTTTACAGTAGTCCACCTTGCCATCTCTTCCATCCAACCACTATCATCAAGGACACTCTTTGCCATTATGCCCCATCAGCTTGCTCCTCCAATTGATTGTTTTATCGAGAGTCTTGATGCATATTGCATTCTACTTATCCACAAGGTGTTTGTAGTAATCCCAATGTCAAATTAACTTCAAAGCTATTGATAAAGTGATGTTATTATTATTTTTATTATTTTGTTAAAACCCACAGTGGGGTCTACGCGTTAATATCAAAATAAAGGTTACAAAGTCCTTATAAGGGACCTCCAGCTCACTATTGCTCAGAAGAGCTACAAAAAAAATAAAAATAAAACCTAAGAGTCGGTGGTCCCTTTTCCTACGATTACAAAATAAATCAAAGCAAAAATAAGGGCTGCAAGAGGACAGCACCAAAAAATGAAGAGCAGATTGATCTCGTTCAGCACATTCTTCCTGAAAAAATACCAAGCAAACCTCAAAAGACTCTAAAAATATAAAACGTGAGAATGTTGCAATCTTCGATCTTACAGAATTCAGAGTACATATGCCTGCAAGAAAAACTCCAAGAAACATAATTAATAAGATAGTATTTAAAGCAACATTTAATCCCAATGTTATAAATATCGTTAAGCAGCCTGGTACTAGCAACCCATTGTAAACCCCTCAGCTGATGCACAAAAGTATTAACCTGACTAGGCTCCTTCATCGTATTAGACATAGGAAAAAAAGATAATCCTCCTACAAAACCCCAAAACACTCCAATACAAAAAGAACAGACTATTTAACAGCTTAGTAACATCAAAGTTATAAACATTACAATAAAAATAAAGATTCAAAACAATAAAAGACCCCATCTGAATAATATAAACTCTAATCTGCTGCTTAACAGAAGAAAGCCACCTAAAATTCGCCCACAAAAACCCGTAGAGGAGTTGCAAACCCCCAGCATTAACCCCAGCACAAACAACCAGAATAAACTGGGCTAAAAGCAGGCCAACAAGAAAATAAACAAACAGACAACCAGAGGAATCAGGCATGGTGGATGTAAGGTAACCCATTTTTATCCAGTGTAATCATTCCTTTAAGTGGCATAGGAAGATTAAGTGCATGATGCTCCAGAAAAACCTCACTATGAGCACAAAAATTAGCCAGCCAATCCGCACACGCATTTCCTTCACGGTAGATATGAGAAATAGTAAAATTGAGCATAGATAGAGCCATTTTAATTTTTCTGATAGTGTAAAAATCATGAGGGAAGCCAGTAGTGTTATCAGAGTCACATGAATAACAAGTTTAGAATCAACCTCAATGTTGATAGTTAGAATACCTAATTTGTAAGCCATGATACAAACCCAACAGCTCAGACGTCAAAATAGAGCAGGAAGTGAGGGGACCAGAAATAACGGCAATAGGATTGCCATAATGGTTCCTGATAAGACCACCCATCCCAGCATTAATTAGTAGCAAAAATAGATCCGTCCGTGTTAAGTTTAACAAAAGGCTCACTGGGTTTGACCTATCTCACGATCCGATCCGATCCCGATTTCCCATATTACTAGAATCATTCTGAATCCCAAAATGATCAACTAATAAGTGGCAGTTCAAAAAAAAAATTTATAGAAATAAGATTTACAGAAATCAACTGCAAAATTTTATTCCTTACATTAGATATGATCTGATTTGAATTCATCTTGATGCCCATATGCTTAGATTCATTCCTACCTTTCCAGAGGTACCAAATACTCATAATAGGAAGTAAATTATGAATATGACCTTTGCTTTTAGAGAATCACAAATTAAGAATGCCAGCTAAATCACAATTAATATTAAAGATACCAATATCTGCTAGATTAAAAAATGAGACTAAACTTTACAAGCAATAACACCATTCATGAAAACATGTTGATAAAGTGATGTTATAATTTAAAAGAATTATGGAAAAGAAACACAAGCAACATCAAAGAAGTCTAGATAATCACGTCAACCTTAATAAATAATGGCTATCACTCTCCACTTTATTAAATGAATGGGCAATAAATTTTTCCCGAAGTTATTTTTGAAAGAAAAAGAGAGAAAGCTCAAATATATTTTAAAATGTAGTATGCGACATCTTATATTTTCATGGCTATATATTGACTTTACATCATGGAAAGTTAAAAGATATAAGAATAAAATGAGATATAAATTATAAGAATAGTTAAAATTAAATAAAATTACATAAAGATATTAGTTAAGAATATTCATCTCTTCATTTCATAACGTTGTTGTATCAAATCCAATGATAGGTGTTTAATTCTTGCACTTTTTCTCTCCTTTTTCTTTGGCTCACTTTCTCCCTCATTTATCTTCCTGCATTGGATAAAGTTTCCTCTCCTCCTTTTGATTAATTTGTGGAGTTACACTAAGAAGAGCTCAAATATAACTTCCATATTGGATCAAAGAGTTAAAAATGGGCTAATGACATAACTTTCATGTTATCATGAATGTAATTTAAGTATTTTTTTTCGAAAATTCATGCAAAAGATGGTGAATGAAGCTTTCAAAGTCTTATATGGCCCATCTTATTTTCTCCATAAATATATGATAAATTATGTCAAAATAAGCTTATGATAGTAAACTTTTCAATTTAATTCATCCAGGCGGTGCATTCATGACTGAAATATTTTTTGTAATACTTATGGAGTAAGTCACCTATCGAGACATAATAATACCTTATAATTTTATTTTATTTTGATATCATTGTAATGCATCAATTTAGTATCAAAGCCCAGCATAGATAAGAGCAAGAGGACCACTACAATCACTTCATACTTGTTAAGGTCAATAATAAAATTTCTTATGATCTTTTCAAAAACTTTATTTTATCAATGTTGAATTTCTAACATACAATGTACAAGTTAACAATGATATTAAGAAAATTATTTAAGAAATGATAAAAGGCAAACTTTATGTTAAGAGGAAAATCACTCAGTTAAAAGGATCTCGGGTTATCTAATATATAGTAACAACATGAGTTTGGAATACGTGTTACCTAAGGACTTTATGATATGAATTATGGTTTCCTATATGCGCAAGCACCTATAGATAATCACCCCTCCCGATAATGAGAGAGAACTTTCGATTAAGGCTAGTCTTCAATCAGATACGTAGGAATACGTGTTATCTAACATATAGTAACAACATGAGTTTGGGTATTTGAAAAGTTTGGATGTTTGAAAATTTTGGTTGAGATATTTAAGAAGTTTGATATTTAAAATTGAAAATTTTCACCATCTTGTACTTAAAGCGAATGGTGGGGGAATGGATGATGGACTCGATTGAAATCCCATGGTTCCATCGTCCCAAGCCATCGTGGTCCCTGGTCTACTTAGTCAGAGGAGGTAGTCGACCCAACCTGATAAAACGATCCCTGTCGGCAGCCATGGGTTGCTTCGTCTAAGGGTTCCTTGTAGATATAGGGAGAGTGTTTGTCTAAGTGGACAAATTTAAATCCACCTTAGCTAACAGAGGATTTTATGCCTTATCGATTATATCATTTTAATTTATATCGCAAGGATTTGATGCCACTAAGGAGCATATTGGCTCTGACCATAACCGTTATCTCGTGGGGCTATTTGACGGCCAAATCACTCAGTTAAAAGGATCTCGGGTCATAATCATTTATCTTGCGGTGCCATTTAGCTTCAAAATCATCAGTTAGAGAATATGTAGCACGTCCTTACTTGCAGGAGATTTGTTTGAGAATAAATCTTAGTAATATTTTTTATTAGACATTAGCTCTATGTGAGTTGAAGTAAATTTCAATTTGTCCAACCCAACAAACTATTGTGGGGAGTGAATGGATTTTACTTTAAGTTATTAGATGGATGATTTCAATTTTAAATATTTGAAATCGGATAATTTTAAAAAATTTGGATTTCAGGTACTTGGGATGGCATTTTGAAATATTTGAAATTAACCCCTCCGGTTGATATTTACAATCAACATGGCCATCATCGGGGTAAGATATGCCATTTTCATTTATGGACTGAACCTTAT